ATACTCGTCCGGAAAACCTTGGGTACTTTGATATGTAAATAAACAGACCAATACCCAAGGGAAAAAAAGTTACAAAAAACGAAAGAACAGAGAACATGTACATCAGCCGAAAACAATCGTCTAGCATCCAAATTCAGAGTCCAAAGAAAAAAAACGATACGAATAAGTAAAATAACTAAGTAAAGTGCTCAATACGCTAAGTAGAGCAAACCTAATTAAACCTAAGGAGCCAAATAAACCTACCAAGGTTTCACCTCTGCGGATCGTCAGGACGCCTACGTGAAACCTTGGTAGATTTATCTCTGGCTCTTTTTGTTTAATTATATATATATATATATATATATATATATATATATATATATATATATATATATATATATATATATATATTATTCACTTCAAAAAAGTGTGATTAATTCTGCACAAATCCTCCACCACTATAATCAAATCATATGTGTTGGTGTCTGGATGTCGGTTCCTAGGAACTGAGCTGCCTGACCTTCCTACGTCGAATACGACGAGACAGAGTGTTCACCATATATATATATATATATATATATATATATATATATATATATAAAAATGTGGCTACATTTTTCAAAAAAATAAAATCATAAAGAAACTTTAAAAAAAACAAAATATTTGCTTTATTTTATAAATTATTTAAACAAATATCCTCCTCTATATTTCAATCAGTTTGTTTCAGCCGATCCATTCTCTTGTCGTCCAAAGTTGTCTGTGAAATCTTTAAGAATTATTCATCTTTATCCAATTATTAATATTATTATTATTACAAAGTTCAGTTCCTGCTGACGACAAGATGATCGAATTTAAAATCTAAATTGTCCATTTAAAATAACTACATTTATTAGAAAATAGATTCAGTTTAAATACAGAAAGCTTTGTAAAAATGATTTTAAATGACCGCATATTTCAACTTTTACTCTTTTCCTGTTACCCAGGAGTTGTTGCCAGACAAAAAGTAAAAGTAGCCTTTGCAATATAGCTGACCATTTCAAATTCATTGACTCTGTGTGTGTGTGTGTGTGTGTGTGTGTGTGTGTGTGTGTGTGTGTGATCATCTGCCCGTCGGCTGCTTCAGTCGTTGGGGGAAGGGCCTAAAAAGGCAGACGAAACCGACTTCCTCCAGGATTATCTGTTGGCGTTGGCTCTCAGGAGTTCCAACATTGTCATGTTTGATGTTATCTGATCAGATCTTGCGTTGCAGTGCCCACCCGTGTTTGCCTTCAACGATGTCTTGCATAATGATCTTGCAGAGGCTATTATGCCATGTGACGTGGCCAAACCATGATCTCTTCCAACGCTTAACAGCAGAGAGAGATTTGTCAGATTACAAGACCTTTGACTTTCTTCCAGTTCATTGGTTTTCTGATCCCAGTAGATGTGGAGGAGCTTTCTCAAGCAAATTGTTCTCGAAAGCCTGGACTTTTTTCTGCTCCAACCGGGGCTATCCAAGTCTCACACCCGTAGAGGAGGATGGATACGACCGGTGATTTGTAGAGCTTGAATTTGGTCTGGACGTTGATGTTTCTATTCCATATCCAGTCTGACCATCGCTGGTGTGGCTGTGATGAGCCGTGTGCGGATTTCTCCGTTGCAGGTGCCGCATTTTGAGGGGGTTGCTCCCATGTATTTAAAATTGGACACTTTCTCCCGTGGTTCACCGTCCATGGTAATGCTGGCACTGGTGTTGCTTCTGTTATTCGCCATTACTTTGGCCTATCATTCCATATGCACATTCCATATGCGCATGTATGTTTTAATTCAATGACAGATATAAAAAATTTCTGCAAAATTTAAAAAAAAAATATATTATTCCCTAATATTTTCCGAAAAGTTCAATAAGACCTTATAATTATCTGATTTATTTTAAGATTTAAAAAATGAAGTCTAATTTTATGAATATACTGTTCAGCCGAAGGTAGGTGTTGTCCAGATTAGATTAGAATAGATTAAAATAATGGTTTCAGTTCCAAGTTCCCTGTAAGTTATCTGGACCAATATATACCTGATGAAGGCCAGAGGGCACAAGGTCAGAAACGTTGTGATAACAACAAAAAAATGAGGACAATACTCCAAATGTAAATAGTGTAAATAATAATAATAATAATGTTTTCTCTTTCAGATGATCACAAGTTTAGCCTCCTTGGGGATTACCGGTTATGAGATGTAGTTTTCGAAATCCACAACTTCGTAAAAGTTGCAGTTTCCACAAAGTTGTAGATTTCTGATACCTGCCGTTGATCCTGTATTGATTCATTCATATATTACGGTTTATCAACCCTTTGCAGATTATTTAAAAGCAGAAAATATTTTTAGATTGTTAGAATTTTTTAGGGTATAAAAGTTTAGTCTTAATAATTAATCCATAGCTGGGGGAGAAGAGGTGGATTTATTTCTAATTTTAAGCTATTATTCATTCCACGACCCACACATCCAATCTTACAGCACCTAGTATTCCCAAGCAGTCACCCATCTACATACTGGCTAAGCTCAATGTTGCTTAACTTTGATGATTGTACCAGGATCCGATGTTTAATTGCAGGTACATTCTGACATCCCCACCCCGTAAGCAAAAACATTTGTATGCTTCCAGCCTTAATGGCGGAGGAGGGTTTAAACTTTTCAAGATGCAGCAGACACTTGTGGAAGGCGGGAGAGTAAACTGGCCAAAACAGAATGATTTAAAACAACAAGTACGAAGATACTTGTCCAAAGAATTCACAGAACAATGAAAAGAAGAATTCAGCTTTTGAATTTCGGGAAAACTCAGGAAAAACAGTCAGAAAGATTCAACTTTAACAAAATAAATATTTTCGCAACAGATGAAGAGGGGTAAAAAAATAAATAAATAAATAAACAGAAAAACGCTGGCCTTGTGCCAGACTTAACTAAGCTTCATAAATAAGTACAAACAAATAAACAAAAAAGTTTGAATGAAGAAGACATTTCTTGAAAAAAAGTTTCAACTAAGAGAATTTCAGACAACTGAACAATTTTGTTTCCCCCAATATTTCAGCAGATCCATTCTACAGCCTTCTCCAAAGGATTTTCATTTTTTTTTTTTACTAACGTTCAAGCAATATAAGGCCCAAGAACCACTCAGGTAGAGGTCTACTGAATGAGGTGTGTGATATGAATGTAAGAGTAGGAAGCAAAGTTTATGAGGATAAGGTGGATTGATCTTTGACTTGAAGAGGTTAAGATTACAGTGTAGAGGGTCCAGCAATTGCCACCATTGATGGCCTACTTGTGATGGTTCATTCTTTTAAGGCCAGCTTCAGATTCACCCAGCATTTCACATACATACACACACATATACATATATATATATATATATATATATATATATATATATATATATACACACACTCAGGAGTTCCAGCATTGTAACGTCTGTCCAATCTTGCATCCACCTTCAATAGTGGTCTTAATATTACAATGCTGGTCTTAATACTACAATTCACCCAATACATGCCCCTAGAGCAAGTCAATTTAGAGTTTAGTTAAAATGAGAAAAAATAAAAGAGTGTAGGAAGTGACGATTATGAGGATAAGGAGGATAGATAACAATTGACCTTTGACTTCAAGACATTAAGATTGTAGTGTTCAGGAAAGCACCCATGCAGGAGTCTGTTCCCCAAAGCAGTGGTTCTTGGGAAAATGCCGAGTGCATCAATTGGAATATGGAAAGAATGATGCTGGTTCAACTCCTCACTGGCCATTTGAACAGGAGTAGAGGTTTATTCCTTGATTTCTGTTTAGGTTTGGGCTTCTGGTTCCTTCTAAAGTCTGCTTCAACACTATACTTATGCTTGTTCTTTCCTACACTAATATAAGTCCATACAGTAACCCTCTACCTGGAGTGGCTCTTGGGCCTTGTATTGAGGGAGCATTGGTATAAAGACCTCCATAAACATAAATGCAAAACACAATATGGTAGCAATCAAACTAAAAATTCAACTGATTTTACGATTAATTCTGTTAATGCTGTGCACTCTCCCAAAGACAAGAAACCCTCTTTTTCTATATGTTTTTTTTTATGGCTTGTCAACCTTTAGCAGGTTATTTAAAGCCAGAAAATATTGTAAGCATTTTGGGGACATAATAATGATTTCGGAATAAAAGTTCTAATTAACCCATAGTTGGGGGGATAAAAGGTGTATTCATACCTTTCACAGGTGTATTTGTGCGTAAGTGAATATAATAAAATCAAACAGAATTGGAACACAGTTCTCCAATTTCCAATTCCAAATCATTATACATTACACCAGCCACACATCCAAGTTTGCAAAATTTGATATTCCTAAGCAGTCACCCCTCTAGGTAATGATCAAGCTTGACGTTGCTTAACTTTGCTGATTGTACAAAAACCACTGTTTCAACATGATATGGCCATAAGCCAAGAGGACATAGATAACGATTAACCCTTGACGAAGAAGTTAAGGTTGTAGGGTCCAGGGAAGCGTCCATGCAAAGCCTGTTTTACAAAGCAGCAGGTTTAGGGAAAAGCCGAGAGCAACTTCCTCCTTACAATTGGAATATGGAAGGAATGAGCATGGTTTGACATAAATATGAAACACAATATGGTAGCAATCAAACTAAAATTAACATGACAGATTTTACAAGCATTTGTTAAATGCTGTGCATGCTCCCAGGAACAAAAAATCCTCTCTTTCTAAATTGGACACAGAGAAGTCTAGAGAACAGATTGGGTAAAACATTGTGGGAACAACAATAGATACACACAGACACACACACACACAAAATGAGAAGGGAACAGGCTTATTTGTCTGAAGATATTGTTTAAGAAAAGAAATTTTTTTCTTCTTGGATAAGAAAAGTAATCCAGAAAATGGGGGCTAGAATAGAATTCATGAAAAGTCATCCCAGCTTATGTCTGGGAAAAAAAGTTCCATAAAATAGTCCATATAGAGAAACAGCTTGAGGGTCAGGAGTGCAACAGCCAGGATAAATAGTCACTGCAAAGTTGTCTCTATATCCAGATCCTTCCTCTTCTTCTTGGATGTCTTCGGCCTTGATGCAGTCTTCGGACGGCCGGATTTGGACACTTTGCTCGACTTTGGCCTCACAGCTTGCGTCGCACCTTCTTGGGTGTAAGCAAGATAAATATTAGAGAGGTCGACCTCTCCAAAATTCTCCCGGCATTCCTCCGACTGGGCGGACTGTTTCCGCATATTGTTACCCGTGTAGGCAACACACTTCAGCTGCCATTCTCCGATATCTTCGTTCCAATGGACGTAGTGCTCAAGCATTTTCTGGAACTCCATCGGAATAAAATTGTCGATGATCAACATTTGCAACTTGAGTTCACGGCTCAGCTGTCGGACATTTTCAAGCAACCCTTCCATTTCGCGTTGATGATCCTTCTGCAAATCGGCTATCTCGATTTTTGCCTGAGTGTACATCATCCAACATTTCTTCAGCTTTTTCGTCTTACCAGTAATCTCGTCTTGGAGACTAGAGTATTTCTCTTCGATATCCAGTCGCTCTTGTTCTTTTTCTTCCAGAGCCTTTCTCAGCTCTTCCTCGTGTTGTTTCCGCTTCTCCAGCTCACAAGCGCTTTCTCCCAAAAGACGTTCTTGCTCTTCAGCTTTTTCCAAGAGATTCTCCCCTCCGACAATAATTTTTTTCTCAATGGCGGCCAGCTTCTCACTGAGCTGATTCATTTCCTCGTGGTATTTCCTTAATTCCGATTCTTTTTCGTCCAAACTATCTTTGATTTTGTTCCGTTCCTCCTCCTCCATGTCTTTCTTTTCCTCTAAGAGTTTCCGATCTTCTGCAATCTTCTGTTCAATCTCAGACATTTTCTCTTTGGAGATCTTCCATGATTTCTTATCTTTTTTGTTCTTGAAATTCTGGCCATCTTTCTCAATGATTTCAGCATCCCCGTCAGTGTAATCGTTTTCGTTGGAGATGCCTTGTTCCAACTGTTTCTTGAGTTCTCTGATTTCTTCCTGGAATTGGCGCAGGAGGGCATCTTTAGGATCTTCATTAATCTTGGCTTTATTCTTAATATTTTTGGCACGATTTGCATACCGCAATGTGCTAATGGTCTCGTCGTAATTATAATCAGCCGGGCCGATATTGGCAATCATCACAGTTTTAGAGTTCCCTCCAAGAGAATCCTGCAACAAACGAGTCAATTTAGAATTCCGATAAGGAATATGGCTACTTTTGCCATCCACAAGAGCAGATATAACATTACCTAAAGTTGAGAGGGATAAGTTGATCTTTGTAGCTTCTTTTAATCTTTGGCCGGTGGCGCCAGTTTTGGTCTGTCGCTCAGAACCCGCCAGGTCAACCAAATGGAGTTTCCCCATACGTACATGCTGATGGCCATCAATTCCCTTTTCGCTGCATTCAATAGTTACAGAGAAAATGGCATGCGATCGGGAACTATGGGCGTTCATATTTGTGGCCCCAACGACTCGATTCTTGTTTCCAATGGTCATAATTCGGTCCATGTCGTCGGCAGTGTTCACCACAAACGCCGACAAATCCTTGACGTAAACCCCAACATCTGGTCTCTCTTTCACCTCTAGTCTCTGATTTTGGTCCTTTCCAAGAAGATCCCGCACCTCCTCGTTATAAATCTCCAGATAAGAAACCCGTACGAGAAAACGAGTTTCGCCTTCCGCTTTGGCGATGGCACCAAAAATATGAGCGAAAGAATTGGGTATGATGCCTCTCATTTCAGCCACTGCTCGAAGACCTTCCATGGTGAAAGTCTTGCCAGTTCCTGTCTGACCGTAAGCAAAAATGGTTCCATTGTAACCTCCAAGAACAGAATCTATAATTGGACGAGCAATTTCATTATAGACATCGACCTGTTTACAGTCATGTCCGAAGACGGTATCGAATGTGAAAACTTTCATCGGTTCCCCATGGGATGCATTCGGATTCTCAACAGAAGCCGTGCCCCTCATGGAATCAATGAAGACAGTCTGTTTGCATTCATTGGCAATTTCTTTCTCGTTAAGAGGCCGGCAACGGATGGCCACCTTCACATTATCTCCCTCACCTGACATCTTTCCATCAAGTTTATTAACCTTCATTTTCTGAAAATATCCAAAGGTTCCTTTTCAGTATTTCTTAAAGTTGATCCTGTGAAAAGAATAAAAGAAAGTCAATATTAGCAAAAGTTCAACAAAAGTGCACAATTTATGATTTGAAATATAATAGACTAATCTGCCATTAATGCTTGCCTTCATACCTAACCATTGACAATCCCTTTCTTCCTCATTTACAATGCATTTCTATAGTGAAACACTGTTACAAAATAATAATTCTACATATAATAGCCCTATTCTGCCATTAATGCTTGCCTTCATACCTGACCATTGACAATCCCTTTCTTCCTCATTTACAATGCATTTCTATAGTGAAACACTGTTACAAAATAATAATTCTACATATAATAGCCCTATTCTGCCATTAATGCTTGCCTTCATACCTGACCATTGACAATCCCTTTCTTCCTCATTTACAATGCATTTCTATAGTGAAACACTGTTACAAAATAATAATTCTACATATAATAGCCCTATTCTGCCATTAATGCTTGCCTTCATACCTGACCATTGACAATCCCTTTCTTCCTCATTTACAATGCATTTCTATAGTGAAACACTGCTACAAAATAATAATTCTACATATAATAGCCCTATTCTGCCATTAATGCTTGCCTTCTATAGATTTTTCCATCTTTGGATATGACAGGCAACAGGGGTTTAAAAATCAAGGTTTTCCTCCCTCTTGAAGGACTGCCTTCCTGGGTTGTCTAGCTCCATCTACCTGTAGTGGCTGGTTATGAGGCACCAGTTGTCCGCCTTTGCCCAGTCGGGCATAACAAAACAAAGTTCAAAAACAAAAAAGTTCATACATTTTGGAAAAAGATAGCAGAAACACAAAATGAAAATATAAATCAGGATTTAAGCCTAAAATGCTCAGAAATTACGAAGTCATTATTTAACATCCAATAAAATTATTTATACTGCCTTTTCGACAATACTAAAAACTAAACTATCAAATGAAAGGTATCTTTTGAAAGCCATTATCCCATCTGCTCTGAAAGACATGGCATTTAAAAAAGATTTTTTTTTATATACTAATGTTCAATACAAGGCCCAAGGGCCACTCAAGGTAGAGGGTTACTGTGTAGTGAAACTGGAGTAACCTCTCTAATGCATAGGCCAGGTCACTAGTATCTAGAAGCTATGCCCTGCCCAAACTACATGATGCCCCCCCCACCACCACCACCACCTCTTGGCTATATCGAAAAAGATGTAAAGGAATACAGCGATGGCTTGGCTGCGGAAATTGCCAAAAAGTTGTCAGTGTTGCTTCAGGGATCCACTCCAGGTTTTCTGTCTGGATTTATTTCTATAGCCTTTTCCATGTTTGGATATGACAGAGGCAGTGGGGGGATTTTAAATCAAGGTTTTCCCTCCCCTAGATGGACTGCCTTCCTGGGTTGTCGAGCTCCATCTACTTGAAGCAGCTGGAGGTACCAGTTGTCTGTCTTCGGCCATTCTTCAGCTATTTGAAACACATGCCACAGAAGCATTTTATAGACAGTGAGAGTTTGTCCCCACTATCACCCCCGGCTATAACAACCTTTGGAACATCATGTACAGATAAAAACATATATATACATGTTTTAGAAGCTCCAAAAGTAAAAAAAATTATTAATGTTTTTTTTTTAATGTGTAAGACCTTAGATAAACAAAAACAATAGAAAGCAAAAGACAAATTATGAAATAGTCAAAAAAAAAAAAAAAAAAAAAAAAAAAAATGTAAATATAAATCAGGATTTAAGCCTAAAATACTCGGAGATTATGAAGTCATTATTTAACATACAATAAGATTATTTATGCAGGCTTTTGGAAAGAGCTTGCATCTGGCAAAAGACCGTGTCGTTGATTCAAGGATCAGCTCAAAAACATCTTGCCAAGGACAGAAATCGATCCTGTCAATTGGGAGACGGAAGCTACAGAAAGAACCAGTTTGTGAAGAGCAGTCCACAAAAAAAAAAAAAAAAAGAAAAAAAAAAAAAGGATAACGTTCTTTGAAAAAAAAAAAAACAAAAAAAACAAATAGAAAGGATGAAGAGATCCCGAAGAAAAACCAGAGTTTCTCCACCCACTGAATCCTCCTACCCTACCCTACAGTATCTGCGGATGTTAGGTAAACAAAAAATATTATAACACAAGACAAATTATGAAATAGTACATAAATTATTAATCAAACACAAATATTGAAAAGTTTCTTAATTCTAGGAAAAGATAGCGGAAAGAAAAAATGAAAATATAAATCAGGATTTAAGCCTAAAATACTCAGAGATTATGAAGTCATTATTTAACATACAATAAAATCATTGATATTGCCTTTTTAAAAATGCTCACATCTGGTAATAGACCAGATGACTCAAGGATCATCTCAAAAATACCTTGCCAAGGACAGAAATCGATCCAGTCAATTGGGAGATGGAAACTGCAGAAAGAACCAATTGGTGAAGAACGGTCCACAAAAAAACATCCTTCGAAAAGACCAGAAAACAAATAGAAGAGAAGCAAAAGAAAAACGAGCGCTCCCCATCTCTTGAACCATCCTACCTTATCAGACAATGTCAAGGAACATTAGTTTAACAAAAACACTAGAATGTAAGACAAATTATAAAAAGCAAAAACAAAAAATGAAAACTTAAATCAAGATTTAAGCATAAAATGCTTTGAGATCATGAAGTCATTATTTAATATACAATAAAATTATTTATACTGTCTTTTTGACAATACTAACAACTATCAATTGGATGATATCTTTGGAGAACCATTATCACTTCTGCTATGAAAGGACATGGCATTTAAAAAATAATTTTTTTTATGTACTAATGTTAACTTAATACAAGGCCCAAGGGCCACTCAAAGTAGAGGTTTACTGTGTGGAGTTCTTTGAACAGAAGGCAAGAAGTAATGTTCATGAGGTTAACCCTAGACTTAAAGAAGTGATCAGGGAAAGTATCCTGCTGGCAGTCTGTCACACAAAGTAACAGTTCTCGAGAAGAGGTTGTCTGAATGGAATTTCCTCCTTACTAATGAAATAAAAAGGGAATGAGGATGATTCGCTCTTGTGGATGTGGCAAAGGTCAATTTAATGGAACTAAGAAATGTAGCTTGTCAGAACACATATGCCATCATGCGCACAAAAAAAAAATGTTTTTTTCATAAAACCACTATTATTTTAATTCCCTTCACTCCTCGGCAATGTTTACTGTTTTAAAAAGCAATGATTAGAATTTCAATAAAACCTAAACATATGATGAAAGTCAATTGATACATTTTTTTTGTTTTGTTCTTGAGAATTGACAACAAATATAAAAACTAATGTTTATTGGAATGGTTGGCAAAACATTGGCTAATTCCAATTGATTCAAACTTTATAAAATGATAAATAATAAGGTTTTCCTTTAGAGATGGTTCACATATTTTAATAAATGTTTATAAATTTATGAATTAAAAATTGTTTTCATTTTTATTTCTCTATAAATTGGTAAATGATAAACATTACATTGTATTAGTTTTTAGAATGTTGTAAAAATAAAATTATTCTTCTAAATAAACAATTTAATAAATAAATATTAAACAATATTTATTTATTAGATTGTTTATTTACAAAAATATTAAACTATTTTTGTTGTAAATTCTCAAGAACAAAGAAAATGTATAAATTCACTTTCATCATATGTTTAGGGTTTATTTCAATTTTAATCATTGATTTTTAAAACAATAAACATTGCTGTGGAGTGAAGGTAGTTAAAATAATAGCAGTGTCATGGGAAAAACTTTCCTTTTTCATACTATATTGTATTGAAGACATGTTTCTCCATGGTTGCCAGATATTTATATATTCATTTCCCTTATTCATTTTTTTTCTTTTGTTTGCTTTCCAGTCTGTCTTTGACGTGGCACCTGAATAAAAATACAGGTTCTTCAAGTTGTTGAAGAAGTTTATGGAACAAAATGTATCACCACATAATTTTCAATCTTGTTATTCATTTGCCCACTATTTTTTATATATATATATATATATATATATATATATATATATATATATAGAGAGAGAGAGAGAGAGAGAGATAGAGATAGATAGATAGATAGATATAGAGATATAGATAGATATAGAGATATAGATAGATATGGCTGCAGTCCAGTGATAAAAAAGCATTTATTTTACAACAAATATCTTTTTGGTTCATCTTACTTGTCATTGCACTTAATCCTCTGGTGCATTCAACATATTGTTTAAACATTGAATTGAAAATTTAAAATCTAAATTCAAGCAACTTTTTTGTGTGTGTACCCTATTTATTAGATTATTTATTGCAATGGTTGTCAAAACACTTGCCAATTGATTCAAACTTTATAAAATGGTAAATTATAAGGATTTTCTTAGAAGTTGGTTCACATATTTTAGAATTTAGTAAATGTTTATAAATAAATAAATTATGAATAAAAAATTGTTTTCATATTCTTTATAAATTGGTAAATGATAAATATTGCATTGCATTATTTTTAATTGTATTAGTTTTTAGAATGCTGTAAATATAAAGTTATTGTTGTAAATAAACAATTTAATAAATAAATATTAAACAATATTTATTTGTTAGATTGTTTATTAACAAAAATATTAAACTCTATTTTTGTTGTAAATTCTCAAGAACAAAAAAAAATGTATAAATTCACTTTCATCATATGGTTAGGTTTTATTCCAATTCTAATCATTGCTTTTTAAAACAATAAACATTGTCGAGGAGTGAAGGTAGTTAAAATAATAAAGATGTCAAAGGGAAAAAACTGTCATTTGGACACTCCATTTTTTTTGTGGACATGAAGGTCAAAGTTTACTAAAATAGCAACAGATCAATGAGAGGCTTGTGACATTTCATTTGTGGCAAAAGATTTGCCGCATGGAAAATAATTCATCAAACCCATTGCCGCAAGGATGCTTTTGAATTCTATCAAGACAAGCAAGTGAAGATTGTGCAGCTCTAGCCCAGATATGGCAACAATACTCCATTTTTTGGTCTGATATAACTCTCATAAAGATAGTGTATAGTAGGGGAAATCAGATACTTACTGGAGAAGTACAATGGTGGCAAAACATTATGTTTTGGTTTGGGCCAAATTTTTACAAGACAGTCTCTACCCCCCCCCACTCCCAATTGACCCACCTAGCCTGGGTCAGAGGAGAGACAAGCAGCTAGATTCTGGTCATCCAGATTCTGCGAGGGGCACCTAAAAACTATTCTATCCTAACCTGAGTAATGGAGGGAGAATTGCAACCCCCATCATCCCATTGGTAGCACAAACCTCATCAATTCTCCCTCCATTACTCAGCTTAGGGACAGTTTGAATTCAAAACTGTCTTTTTTTTTTATTTTTTTTTCAAAGCAATTCACCCCAAGCAAGGCAGCAGTGCCACTAGCACACAAGGGGTTACAGAGGATTGAGAACAAGAGTAAAGAGGCATGTCTGGGAAAGGGATACAGAAAAAGACAAGGAACAAGTTCAGGGTGTCAGATGTCAATTGACATTACATTTGAATATTTGAAGATTATAGTCATTTAGGAAGCAAGTAAGGGGAAGGGAGTTCCACAGATGGGAAGTGTGGGAGAAGAAGATGTTTGAGTAGAAGAGACGATTACATTTAACAGTTTTGACAGTGAAAGGGTGGGACCGAGATGCCAGCCTGGTAGCTTGCTTAAATTCATGCAGTCCAGGAATCCAGCAAAAGTAGCTCGTCAGAACAGATGCCATGGAAATACTTGTAGAAGAGACAAAAGGAGGCCACAGCACATCTGTGGGATAGCGATTGTAGACTAGATGACAGATCAGGACCTATCATCCTGCATATTTGTCTCTGGATTTTGTCGAGGACCTCGAGATGTACAGCAGGAGCATCAGACCATATATGTCAGCAATATTCTATGCAACGAAGGACGGTTGATTTATAGATTTGACGGATGGACTTGGATGAGAAAAACTTTCTGGCACAACACAGAGAACCAACTTTCCTTGCAGTAGATGCAGCTATTGATACAATGTATTTATTCCACCTCATGCCATTAGACCGCGTGAGACCAAGTAGGCATTGTGAGGCACTCTCGAAGAGTTGAGTATCAGCCATTTTTGATGAGAGGCAGGGAGGGTTCTCTGTGGCCAGTAAAGGAGAGCTCCTAGATTGGTTACCTGCCAAGACTGAAAAGTCTGATGAACCTCACAAAAAGTAATTTTTTTTCTTAAACTTTTAATTTAGTTTTGTTTGCATTCTTTAAAAATAGGCATACAGCCACATCATGTTGAAATACCAGTTCCCATATGATCACTGAAGTTAAGCAACATCGAGCCTGGTCAGTACCGACATGGGTAACTGCTTGGGAATACCAGATGCTGTAAACTTGGATGTGCAGTTGGAATCGCTTAAGGCTCCATCCCGTTGAAAAATACTGGTTCTCGTATGATCAACGAAGTTAAGCAACATTGATCCTGGTCAATACCTAAATGGGTGACTGCTTGGGAATACCAGGTGCCATAAACTTGGATGTACAGGTGGTGTAATGGATAATGGTTAATCGAAGAGCCGAGTTCCAATTCTGGTTGGGTTCATTATATTCATTTACACGCAAATAGCCTTGGGAAATCATCCTGGGTACAACAATAAACTACATCCAGCAGCAAAGAGTTACCTCTTAATTGCTATTAATCCCAGGTCCACCCTGACCCAAGGGTGGTAGCACCCTTTAGAGCCCCAGTTGTGGCCAAACTGGGATCGAAATACATTTTAATAGTCAAGGTACCAGTAATACATTTACATAATAAAAAAAATTACCAGCAATATATTTTTGTAAAAGAGATTACTAATGTTCCCCCAAAAATTTAATTTCAGCATTAAATGACCCATAAAGGAGTTGATATGCCATAAAACAAAAAAACCCTTGGGAAAGGTATGGATCCACTTCTTCTACCCCCCCACAGATATGGGTTTATTAGTAAGACATGTATCCCTAAAACTATTATTATCCACAAACACTCCACACCAGATAAATATTGCATACAAAATATTTATATTTCAGGATTAAATATTACATGGAGGTGTTTCAACATGTAAAATAAATGGGTATTGTTAAGTTTAGCGTTTCAAACGATTTTTGCATATCGATTTCTTTTTTTTTCTTTTTTAACTATCCTCATATTCAGAGATTTGTTTTCGATTTTTACAGCATGAATCCAAAAAGAAGCAAATAATTTTCCAAATGCAATATTTATTCAAATATTTTTCCATAACTAAATAAAAAAATGAATCTGAGTTAATCTCCGTAAAAATTTGTTTTAAAAAATCGTGCAATAATTCCACCTACATGAGAAAACATTTTTGTGGCAAATACACGGAAAAAAGAAAGAAATGTCCTTGTTTTTTACTTGGGGGGGGTCTCTTTCCATGATATACAAACCTTCCTTAGAGGCTTGAAATTTAATAATTCATGACTAGTTCCACTTTTTCTATTCTATTTCGTGTTGTTGCTAAAGAAAAAACTTCGTTCTAAAAGAGACCAGAATATGAGGTTAGTTCAAAATATAGGTGCAAAAATCAGTGTTGTTTTTTGGTATACAGTTTGAAACGCTAAATTAAACATAAAACTAAAACACTAACGAACACAAACAAATAAATGACTACTTGTGACAAACATTTAACTCGTTTTACTGCAAAGCGAAACAAAGAAGTCTGGCACAAGGCCGAATGTGGTTAAAAGTGTAAATGACAAGTAGGGATCGTCTGACTACCTTGAAAATCAGCATTTGAAATCATGGCGTCTTTCTGGATTCGAAATACCGAAACTACTCCAACTCCAGACACTAAGAATGAAATTGAAACACTATTTCAGATTTTCAAGTGTAATGATCCTTAAATGCTTGTAAAATAAATTTTTAAAATTTAAAATTAGATTTTCTTTTTACATTGTCAGTTAAATAATTTGAAATGATTATTAAATGATTTAAAAGAAAACTTCTACGATTTATTATTTTTTCTCTTTATTAAAAATTATCTTTGAAAAAAAAAATTAGCTAAAATATTTAAGCTAAAAATATAAGAACGAATCGATGAAGAAGATGAAAAATGAAACCTGGAAATAGCGTGACAAATAAAAATGTTGGGGGAGGGGGGTGAATTACGTTCACGGCCACTTTAAACAGCACTGAAGGCAAGCACGACAATAATAGAAATCTCTAGGAGTAAAGTAGACGAATTTTTTTTTAAATGATATGTATATTTTTTCGATTTTTAAAACCTAAAAGAAAAAAAAAAGAAAAATTAATGAATTCTATAAAAAATATTTAAAGAAATTACATTATTTTTTTTTTAATATTAAAAAGAAAGAAAAAAAAAGTAGATAATTTTTTCATGGTGCTTGGGATAGCAAAAGTAAAAGTAGATACCTTCATGAAATAAAAAAAGAGCATGATAAAAACGGCCTTAAAATTTGCAAGAAATGACATTTTGCAAAGAGAAACATGATTTTTTTAAATAAAAAAAATGTTAGAAATGCAATATAAAGGATGTAAAAATCTTAAAAAATAGTCAAAAAATATTTTGGTCTTTCCTCTTAATAATAACAAACATTTAGACGATAAAATTTCGTTTTCATTAAGTTTAGGGCCTTTTTTTATCATGTTATGATCTTTTTTTTTTAGAGATTTTTCATTAAGGTACCTAACCCATTTCCTTAAGAAATAAACATGTTGGAAAAAAGAAAAACATAATCAAACCTCTCTAAATCTATAAATATTTTAAAAGAATTTAAATTTCGTAAAAAATAAAGAAAGAAAAGAAACAATTCATTAAAAAATTAATTAATAATTAATTTGAAGCAACAGAAAATGATTCAACAGGAGATACAAAACTGGGTTAAGAAGAATTTCTCAAATTATTTCATCATATATATTTTTTTTTAAATCTTCGCCCCATTTTTATCCGTGATAGAAAATAAAATATTTTACCTGATAGGAATCCAATTTTTTGTGTGTAAAAATAAAAACTAGGAGAAAAAAAATCAGGAATTATGTCCTTTTTAAAAGTATTTCCCTACATTATTGACGGAATTTTTCAGTTACTTTCTTTAACAAAAAGATTCAATTTCAGGTTTGAATTTTCTTTTCTTTTTATTATTCTTTCTTTCTTTCTCGTCTCTCAGTTCATTGCAAGGGTTGAATTATCACACTTTCTGGCACAAAGACATCATTTTACTTGTGTCTCCTTGGTAAACAAACTAAAACTAAACGACTTCTTTTCGTCTCCGTGTGCGTGTCAACCCGGTCACGTATCACGGCAACGGCATAACAAATTTAACTCCTCAACTTCCGGTATGACGTCACTTGGCGCGGAGCCAACCTTGACTGACGAGTTATCTCCCTTGACAATCTGACAAATTAGATATTTAACTTCGTCCGACATAATGGATGATCCACCCCGTTACAGTAGCAATAGTCAGTTTGGTTAACTTGCCATTCAATTCTCTAAAGCAAGTCATCCAGGTATTATCTAAATTTAGTTCAGTCGGGCCGTTTAGTCTCAAACACTAAGCTGTAAATGTAGGTCATCCAGTGGCTAAATTAACATGTCTTCCATACCAAGTTCTTAACACCCCTCCCTCACGCAAGCAAGCACACAGGCATCCATACATATATAGCCGGGCCGGGGAGGTATTAAATAAATATTAGTGCTCGAGCTCCAGGGGTTGGGGGCCATACCACTCCTTGGGAGGAGGTTGAGGTCATTAGCCAGCATCTGAGGCATTCCCGAAGTGGGAGCTGCCTAGGGGCTTGATCAGTTTTTGGACTATGGACCAAAATCCCACTTTAAAATCGAGTTGGTGTCACATTACCCTTTATCCTAGCCTGCTGGTAAATGTAATTAATGCTGTTTATTATAAACACAGCATTTACTTAAATAATTGTATCTTTAAAATAACCTATAAACAGAAAATACCTTTAGGCTTTAAGTATATATGTGTGTTGTGTATAAATAAAAACATTTTACATCGTTACACAAAAAAAGCTTTCATGTTTATAGGATTTCCTCAGGCAATAGCAGATAACTTGTGATAAAAATAATTAGGGAAATTTAAAAAACACATCGTTAACATAGTATTGAAACATGAAAGCGTTTGTGTAGCGATGTAAAATAATTTTATTATAATCTATTATAATAAAAATATTATAATAATATTTTTTCTACTTTGTATTGAGTACTTTAAAAAAAAAAGTAAATGCTACTGTGTATTTTTTACTCCATCTGTTCTTTCTCTTATTTGGATATATATATATATATATATATATATATATATATATATATATATATATATATATATATATATATATATCGTATTGCAGACGCTCGCTCCGGCTCAGGCGCATTTGTGTTTATTCAACACCCACAGAGCAACTATACTGAGCAGAACTTAGTTACAGTTTCTGGGGGAGAACGTGTTATCTAGTGTGATCAACAATTTGAACAAGGCCAGCACATTCAAGCTCTCGGCCAAGATGACTTGTGACTTCGTGTTAACACAGCTATCTATCCAATTTCACTCAAAAGGCTTGGGTCAATCCGTGTTATGGTTTTCAAAAACCTTGCAAAGGTGACGTATGCTGGGGTCGATCTCGATACATTACGATAATATCAGGAAATCTCCTTCCTCACAAATCATGGTGAGATTCGAATCCGGACCTCATGGTCAGAAAGCGAACGTTCTAACCACTTAACTGATTTAAAATATGGCTTCTTCGCTATACAGGAAATACCATGTTTCAAAAACCGAAATAAGTTATTCCAAAATTCGCTTGAAGACGAAACAGAACTAATGCTTTTAATTTAATTATGTAATTAAATTTGATTTTTTTAGCTTCGGTTGTATTCAATGAAATGTGCATGAAAGAATGATTGATGCCTAAATACACAAATATATATGACGTCACACGTCCGACAATTATTTTAAGACATTTTATGTTTATACATTTTTTTATAGATACAAATATTTAAGTAAATGCTCTGTTTATAATAAACAACATTTACCGGCCGAGAAATTTTCATAGAAAATATTCGATTTCCGACAGGATTCGAACCTGTATCCTATACTGAACCGTCATATAGCGTGACGTGCTTTTTAACCGATTCGGCCACAGAGGATCGTTCGGTTACCAAAGTCGAATTTACTGCTTTTAAACTTCAATCATCCATGAATCTCTCACGTACATTCATATCTGCTTATGGCGTATCAAATGTAAACAAATGACGTCACACATTATGAAAGGCACATCAGGCTATATGATGGTTCCGTATAGGATACAGGTTCGAATCCTGTCGGAGGACGAATATTTTCTATGAAAATTTCTCGGACATTCAGGCCAGTAAATGTTGTTTAATACTAAACAGAGCATTTACTTAAATATTTGTATCTATAAAAAAGAATGTATAAACATAAAATGTCTTAATATATATATATATATATATATATATATATATATATATATAT